GCAGCAGAGGCTTGCCTGTAAGCTCCTAAGGCGAAGTTAGAATCGAGAATATCGTGGAGAGGGTTTTCGAGCACGCCAGTCTCCTGTTTCCTCGCGCCCTAACCTCCCGCTGGATTAGAATTAGATATGGATCAGCTTTCAGCAGCACGCCTGAGTTATGTGGAGGGAACTTAAAAGTATATCCCGTCACTGAGCTATTCCGAAGAAGCAGGTCTGGATGTCTCCACTCCGGGCCAGTTCGGTTCCTCTTGTGGCGGAATGTCGCAGAAATTCAGGGGAAGCCGGATGCGTCCGTTGACCACAAATGCTGTAACACCACCTTCCTCCCCTTTTCCGGAGAACCTCAAATCTTAGGTAATCCACGACGTGATTCTTATTGGTCCTTTTAACGTTTCGTCAACTGTATGATAAATGCGGTGTTTCAAAATTTCCGTTCTTAATTCATCTCTTCCATGAGAAACAATCCGAATTTACGACCTTAAATTTCGAAGCAAATCTTCTGCTATCGAATACGAAAAATCATGGAGAATTTTCGTTTTATGTTGACCAGTTTCTCGAAAGGAAAATAAAATTTCTAAGGAAGTCTGCAACGTCGCAAATGGAGAAACGTCGTCTCTCATTTTGCCCACAAATATGTGTGTATTAAATTGAAGGCATTATGACTCGCCTCTCTCAACTTATATTCGTCTGTAACGATAAACAATGGGACGCGCTTGCTACGGCGCCTTGATACAATTTCAACCTCGACGGATGACCGTATTGCGTTCAAAAATTTGAAGGCGTTTTGACTTCCTACGCATAATACGTCTCGTTGTTTCGATCGACAAACGCGTTGGTCGGCGGTGACGGGGACTCGATGCCACTATTTAAGGTTGTTGGATGTCCGTATCGGTCCGACTGAAGTGCGAAACCACGTATCTCCGTTGCGGTGTTTCAAAATTTCCGTTCTTAATTCATCTCTTCCATGAGAAACAATCCGAATTTACGACTTTAAATTTTGAACCAATTCTTCTGAAAAAAGTATTAATACTTTGGGCTAGACGCGATTAAAATTGTTTCCGATGACTAATATTCCGCGTATATTAAATATTACGCCGAAAATAACTTACGTTTATGAATGTAGGCATTGTGCTCTCATCGTTGAATGCGGAAATCAAACGCATTGCTATTCTAACTCTGGAGTTGTTATGTGATGTGATATGTCACGCGGAAATGAAGGAAAATCTTAGCTTTTCACCTTTCTCAAATTGCTGCGACGTTTATGACTATACTACTGTAGGCATTACGCATCGCTTAATGCGGAAATCAAGAGCGCAACTATTCGAACTCTGGAGTAGGTACCTATGTGATGTGCTATCAAAATGCTAAAATGAAGAAAAATATTACCTTTTTACCTGGCTCAAATTACTGACGTCTACGCATGTAGGTATTATGCACGCATCATTTAATATGGAAATCAATACTATAGGCCAATTTCCGCCCCCAGTCCGTCAAGATTTTGCGTGAGGAGCGGGGGTGGGGAGGCAGAGGCATAGACAAGGGGAGTCCAGGGAGTCTGGACCCCTCTCCCCTTAGCCTCCTTAATTTTGTATACTTTTCTTTTACTCTTGGAGGGTAGACATAAAAAATATGATCGGAGACGTACACAAAATAATGTAATGTTACCGTTACGTTTTTTAATGGACCCCCCCCCCCCCAGACCCCCATCCCTTAAAGAACTCGCTTGCTACGCTACTGAGTGGAGGGGTCCACTCCGTTCGTGCATTACATGCCCAACACTTTCTATGCAGATTTTCAGACCTTTTCATTTAGGTACTATTTTGCAGTCTCCAAGCCTGCAAAGACTGTCTTCTGTGAAAGTTTGAGCTTTTTCGACTAACCATAAAGATATCGGTGTTTTATATTTTATTTTTGAGGTGTGGAGAGGATTAATTGGAACTTCTTTTAGTATTATCATCCGTTCTGACCCTATGGATTTTGGATCTTTTTTATCAAATGAACATTTATATAATGTTGTTGTAACTTCTCATGCCTTTATTATGATTTTTTTTTTATGACCATACCTTCAGTTATTGGCGGTTCACTTAGTCATCACTTTGTACCTGCGATTCTCCTGGATTGGATCGCCTTGATTCCGCGCCGTCTTCCAGCAAAGAGGCGTTAGCGGAAGTGCCCTGTCTTCGTTTCTCTCTCTCTCTCTCTCTCGTCTATGGAATGAATTCTGGGGGAAAAAGAATATTTTTAAGGCGGCCTTTATCAGGGGGGGAGGGGGGAAGGGGCCTCTTCACGTCTACGCGGTAGATTAAGTAAGAACGTGGGTCCAATCAGCAAAAACGG